AGAAGCGTTTGGTGGCCTAGAACGTTTGATTGAAGATAATCTTTCAGGCGTCTGAAGACGGCGAAACGTTAGGCACAAAATAAAGCGTTCCTTTATCAACCTGAGGCATAGAATATTTGAAGAGTTATCCAAAATATGCCCAGGTTACAAGGAGAACATACGAAGAAACACATTAGGTTTTCCCAAAACATTATGTGAGCTGCTGTTCATCTAAACAACTTAACAATTGGACTGACACCCAGGTATTTTTTTGCCATCATTTGCATTTCTTTTCATTTTTTTTCAGAGCAGGATTTCTTTAAATCGCTGCCAAATGATATCAAGATGTTCTGAAAAATGTTTTAAAATGTTTCGCGTTTATAAAAACTGAACAGCTTTCGAGTCATTTTGAATGCTCTCGAACTTTGCCGGTGACTCTAGAAAACATGTCGAACTTGTCTTGAAAGTGTTGATTTTAATCTTGACAAGTGGCAGGGAGACAGTCTTCACAAGATCTATGAAGAAATTTCCAGAGTGAAGCACGCTTTTTATGAGAAAATTTCGAAAAAAATGGGTCCGGACAGGCGAAAAGATGCGATTTGCCTGAGCACCCTATGAGAACTTGCCTGAAATATCGTCACATTATACTCGCTGTTGCGTTTTGCAGCTTCTCGCCAACTATGCTGCAATTTAGCTCTAGTATTCCAACTAGCTTGATCACCCATAGCAGATGCTGTAGCGAACATGAACCTGTGCAAATAAGATTACGCCTAAGAGCTTTACACAACAAACTTCATCAATTTTTTACTTTTCCACTCCTATAACCGCTCCATTGACATCTCGCTTCAGTCGTATCATATCATTCCATCTCGAACCTCCATTTTCCTGGTCCTATAGCAGAAAAAACCGTAGTAAGTTATTGCGAAACAGTGAGTTAGAGACCTGGAGCCAAGAATCGAGTAAGGGATAGAATTCTTCCTTTGATGGATATAGGGAGGATTGGTGCAGAAATGATCGCAGCCAAAACGATGTCGAATTTTTGCCCATCGAAAATGGTAAACTCTCAAAATCTCCTACGAGTCCAAGCATTCGCCGCTGGTTGTCCTCTTTCGAAAGATCTGGAGGCTTGTTTACAAATACTAAAACCTGGAAAAAAGTTGTTCGTTGTAGAAAATTTGGATAGCCAGCTGTGGCGATGGATTTGTGGGAGGGGGAAGGGGGAAGAGAAGTACCGTGTCAAGAAAATCGTTGGGATGCGTTCCACAATTTTATTGGCGTGCCACCCCAAAAGCTTAGAAAAAAGGACGCCGTCAATCTTTTTCAGAAGCCCGTGGGAAATTTTGCATTATCAGTTTAGCTTTCATCAAATCATGAACAAGTGAAACAAGCCACAATAAAATTATGACTCATGGTACGGTTAGGCCTTGCCCTTACTTCACGCGAGTTCAGTCGAGACCTGATTTTGCTATACTTAACAGTTTACAACTCATCACAAGCGCATTTTGAGTGTACAGAAGATAAGGCGCTTCATCATCTACCAAAGTCATAAATGCTATGCTTTGTAATCTTACAAGTGTTACATCTGTCGTGGCTCGCCTGCTAAATATTGCTCGTGATAGGAGAGCGAACGCTAGTTGTCAGTTACCGAAAGCGATATCGTCATTCGCGCCAGGACCTCTCTTGCTGGGGCAATCCCACTGCAAGGGATATATAAGGCCGCGCAGACGCCCGAATGCCTCCGCACGAATTCGTTTGTTGTTGATTAATTTTCCTTCATCATTTTTGTGCTGGCAGCACCTCCAGTAGCTTCCAAATAGATGTCAATTTCAAGCAGTAGTTCTTCTTAGTTTGGAAACGCGCGGCTAAAAAGCATGGTTCGTCAGGTAGGTGCAAAACGATCGCGGGGGTACAGAGGGGTCGCGCCATCCCGTGAGGACTTGGGACTTGCGGAACCCTATGGATACAAACTCTGACATTACCTTGAGTCAGCACGTGACAAAGCGGCTCGTCCCATGCCTTTATTTTTTCTTTGATTAGTAGTTAGTAGGTTTTGTAATGTTCATGCTTATAATTTGTTGTAGTAAATATAATTTGTTCTAATCGCGCTTTGTGACTGGCGTAAGTGGGTATGGGGATGAAGGGGTCGATCGGATGCGCCTGGAAGTGCACACAAGGTAGAGTAAGCATCTGGGATCGAATTACTTATCCGCGAATAAACACGAGCTACGTTTGGGCGGTATTTCTTAGGGCCGACCTCTTAGTGGGATTCCCATGAACCAATGGCGAGGTTTAGTTACTACTTTTGGCCTCACTGTCAGGTTGAAAGATCGAAGAGATTGTTAACAAACTTACAAGTTGTCCTTCCTTCCAAAGGATATTCTCGTAAACATAAGCAATATTGTGCAGTGGACTGTCACGCATGACTAAATTTGTCGTGTCCATGCGAATCTCCATTTTCAAGCAACCATAGATAGAAGCCGCCCAGTAAAGAATAAGAACGAAAAGCAGACCGAGGCGAATCTAGAAAGGAAAACTACTTCTTGTAATGTGAATAGCGTGATTTACGATACCTGCCACATTTTCAAAACTCTGCAGTACTTCGCTACAATTCCATCAGGATCCGCTGGATAAAGTGAGCGCATTGATAGTTGTGCTGTTACCTAGGAAAAGATATAATGATAATAACTTCGGCGATTATAAGGATAGTATAGAATTAATTAGAGACATGCAGGAACTCGGCAAAAGTTGTTGACGCATTTTCCAATCTTGAAATATATTTTGAAAATGATAAAGCGCATAAGTTTGGAGTAAAAAATCCTCTTTTTGGAATGTAATGAAATTAAGTTTTTTTGCTAGCATGGCATTATTTAGAATCATCATTTGGAAGTTCTAGGCTTCAATTGAAAATGATTAAAAAATACCTTAATAAAAGGAATATGACTCACTATTTGTTTCGTTTTTACGGCGGATTCAATAGGCGGCTTTTCTGGATTTGTTATCCGCATTTCCTCGTAAACCAAAGCAGCGACGAAGAACGTGAGCTTAACGTATATGAGTGATATTTTACTGATAAAAACCCTTGAGAAATAAATTCTAACCTGATAAACAAAATCGATCGCCACTCCAACACATGTGTACAGACAAAATAATGAAATAGCAGGAGTAGGTGTGAGAATGCCTATACCGAAAGATAGAATGTTGGTGATGGATGTTACAGTAATCGAAGGGCCTGCTTCTTCCATTGTTTCGGCTGGAATGAGATTTATCAATAGTAGTACTGAGTAGTCCAAATTCCCACTTTGACTTCTTCTGCAATATTCATTGAAAAAATTTTGGAGGCAAAGAATATTGTAGCGCGCTATAATTCTTTGTCAGCCTAGGACTTCTGTTAATATTCATCCTTTTCTTGCAAAAAGCATAAGGTTGAAGTCTTTTCTTCATTGCTAAGTTCCAAGGTCCATGATGCGTTAAATTCTTTGACAATACTTAATTTAAAAAGTCCTTCAAGTGCAATAAGCGATGCTGCATGTTATGCTGTGGAAAAAAGTCTCCATGCTATGTGAACTACAGAAAATCTATTAATCTAGGAACTACAAAAACCCACCTATCTGGTCCTCCAAAGGTCTCCGTTTGTCTGTTTTACGCATGGCATGAATGATAATAAAGACGTCGTCCGAGCCAACGCCAATTATCAGGAAAGGCATAACAAGTGTGATCGAATTGAACGGCACTCCCAAAAGAAAAAGCAGAGAGAACCTGAACTTTGAGACTAATCTTGGCGTTCATGGACCATTAGGATTGAAGACTAACGTGGTGCCAACTGCCATCAACGGACCAGCCACGCCTAAGAAGGCCATGAAGACTGAATGTCCCAGTCGAAAATGTTCTCGGCGATTGGTAATAAGGATAAAAACGTAGACGAGGGCGACGGAGATTGCAAAATACGGTATGCATAGCATGCCATTTTTGCGCACCTAAACATTAATTCATATAAAAGTAGGGAGCAGATTGTATTATTATATGATGCTTACCTCTCTCGCTATTAGTGCATCACTATTGCATGATATGTTGAGGAAAGGATGTTGAAAGTGTTCCACATAATCAAAAATGCTAGTTTCCCACCTAAAAGTGTGATTTTGAACTGATTGTGAAGAATATTGCTAAAGGCTTGGTATCTGCTGGACAGATAGAAACTCGTAAAAGGTAAAAAGAGAAAATTTTAATCACTGAGATTTATTATTTAGAAACATGCGAGCATGCACATAAAAGTTCACGGCCCAGCTGACAAGCTGGCAAGCTCGGCAACGAAGTCGATGGAAAGTGAAGACAGGGCAAGGAATGTATAAAAATTTTATAAACATTACGGCGATGAAGTGGTCCGAGAATTGTAAGTAGGAAATGAATATTTAATTACCTTATTTAGATTAACTTTCTGCTTCTAGCACTTTCAAAACAACCATGCACGCACCTTTGCGCTGCTTCTTA